TTACATCTTATTATTAGGTTGTATAATACAAAGGCTATTGCCAATAGCTTCTGTATATAATTTCGATTTTGTCTGGAATTTATTTTAGACACAATGCTCTAAAAAGATTTAGAATATTTAAGAATGTTCAAAAATATTTTTCTTGAATGAAGTTAATTTTTTTTATTTTTATGTATAATAATCTATCTTACGAATCAATTATTCTGGGCCTATAACTTGTTAAAATTTATGGACATTTTAAGAATTTGATGATGATGATGATGATGATAATATAAAAATATTATTATTATTATTATTATTATTATTATTATTATTATTATTATTATTATTATACTCTCCCGATACTTGAACAAGTACTTGAACAGGCAGTGAAGTCTCGACTCGAAAATTATATTGAGCAAATCAATTTTCTGGAAAATGAGCAATCAGGATTCAGAAAAAAATTCTCCTGTGAAACTGCGTTACAAAACTCGATTATTGATTGGCGGGATTCATTAGATAAAGGATTATTAGTGGGAGTTTTGTATGTAGATTTTGCGAGGGCATTCGAGACGATTAATAGATCTAAACTAATTAAAATATTAAATGAACTAGGTATTGGAGGAGTAGTATTAGACTGGTTTATTTCTTATTTGACAAATAGAAAACAAAGAGTAAAATTTAATAGCAAGCTCTCTGATGAAATAATTGTAAAGCATGGAGTACCACAAGGGTCAAAACTTGGGCCTCTATTATTTATAATCTATATAAATACGATTGTGAAAGAGTTTAAGAATATAGGTGTAACTTGTAAATTATTTGCAGACGATTTGAAATTGTATTTTACTAGTTTATTTATTGAACAAATAGAATTTAAAATAAATGAAGCAGGAAAAATTCTTAGTAAATGGTTAAAACAAAATCAAATGAAAATGAATAAAAATAAAACTGTATTCTCTATTATACATGACCAAAGAAAAACAAATATTAGGAATAAATGTACTATTGTTATTGATGGTGTTAAAATTAAGGAAGTTAAGCAAGTTAAATATTTAGAAATTCTTATTGATGATAATTTAACATTCAGACAAAATTCAGTAAGTACTGTCAGTAAGATCGCAAGGAAACTAAACATCTTGTATAGATTAAATAACTCTGTGTCGAGTTACACAAAAAGTATTATTTACAAATCTATTATTTCACCTCATTTCGAGTACTGCAGCACTCTGATGTTAAATTATAATCAATCTCAATTAAAAAGTCTACAAAAAGTTCAAAACAGAGCTATGCGGATAGTGCTAGGTGTAAATAAATATACAAATATTAAAACTATGATTTATAATACGTGTATTCTTATTTTTAAAATGATCCACAATCTTACACCTAATTATTTATCAGATAAAATTGCAACCAGAAGTAATGTACATAACTACAATACTAGACAGTGTAGTTACATAGATATTAAAAATACGAGAACGAGCTCTGCGGAAAACAGTATATTGTATAAAGGAATGAGATATTATAATGATCTTCCTGACGATATTAAGCAGCAGAAAACGCTTAGTAGTTTTAAGAGAGATTTAAAGGATTATATTAAAGTAATTTATTCAGAAAAATGATTTTTAATGTGCTTAACGAATGATTATTTATTAAAATGTAATATTTTTATATAAATTGTTTATTTTTAAAAGAATATGTAATAGCAAAATGCTCAAATAAACTATTATTATTATTATTATTATTATTATTATTATAAAATGATTGGAAATAAACATTTCCTGGTTTAATAAAAAAAAAAAACTGAATGAAAATATTTTTTTTAAAGCCTGTATTCATCAATTTATTATAAACGAATAACAAAACTCTTACTCTTTTATTGTAGACAAAAATGATTTAGTATGATTACATAAATTGTGAATAAAAATATTGCATGAAAAGCAATATAATAATAAAATATATTATTATAATATTATTATTTGGTTAACGAATCGCCAATACAATGAATCATCGTTTTTTAGTACAGTAATATCGAGAGCTCTTGAAACTTCTCACGATGACTTTATTGTAACTTCTGATAAATAAACATCAGTGGCAGCTACTTACGATAAATTGATGACAAGTCAATATTCTCTAATCTTTTAGATAAAAATATACATGATATCTTATTTTTCGTTCGTTAATTAACCAATGTATAGTAGATAATTATATCTACTGTGTTAAAAATAGATAATAGAAATTTATAAGATAAACTTTTTTATCAGACATTCTAGTGAAATAAATATATTTAATATTTTTTCATTATGCCTAAACATTGATATTAAATATTATAAATATAATTTATTTTCTCTAAAGTATATTAATTACATAAATAAATTTTTATTTTGAATAAATTTATTTAGTACTTTTAATAGGTACTTGATCCGTAGTTTCGAGTATCACCAGTGGTTTTGTGGCTGTGTCTTCGACCACGAAATGAATTAGAGTCGTGAGATTAAAAAATAACATTATTATATTTTTTAAAATATCCAACAACACTAATTGATCTTTTGTAAGGTAATGTTGTGTGATATGATTCAATTTTAGTCAAAAATATTTCCTTTAGTTTTATGTTAAAGTTAAAATATTACTTCAACTTTTCATTTTACTTAACAGCTGAGTACACTTATTAAATAAATTAATTATATAAAAAATAGAAGTTAAAATTTTGAAAACTCAAAAGCATAATGTATGGTTGAAAAAAAATTTTTGAAGTTATTAAAACTGCCCAATTTCAAATTTCAAACCCTAATTTTTGACTTCCAAACCTGTACTACGAGAAGAATTTTTACCTGAAGTTTTAGGTATAAATTGGTTAGTAGTTTTATTACCTGTTCAATTTTTACAACTTTTATGGACCTTAATTTTCAGTTTTCAGAATACACTTTACTAGAATATTTCTGAAGGAATCTATTACAAAAGACTCAATTTCAGATCATTGTACTCTTCAGCACTTTTCGAATTTACGATGAGTTTAAAATGATCTTTTGTACAAAATTTTCACGAAAAAAAGAAAATCTTGGTTGAAGAATATATTTTCTTGCTGCACAGAAAATTTTCCTTCATTCTAAACATTACTTGTTTTTCTACAGATATTTTTTTTTGTCAAATTTTTTTCCAAATAAAAAATAAAAATTTTTTCAAGTACATAAAATCAAACTACACTTGTTAAAAATAAAAAGTCAAAAATTTTTCTTAATTTTTGCTTTTAAGGCTTTCCTTAACTATAACTTAACTACATAATTAAAACAATTGGAAAATTTTTTAATTTATCATAAAATTGACATTCAAAAATGTTCAAATTTTTTTTTCTTTCAGTAGAAAAAAGAGGAAAAATTTCAAAAGCTTAAAAAAATAGAAAATTACAACAAAAATAATTTTTTTCTCTAATTCAAAAAACTACAACTTAGCAAGATTTTGCATTTTTTTATACTTTTAAAGAAAAAAATTCATATCTATCAAATATTTTACAATTTTCATTTCTTTTTTATTTTTCATAGGGTAAGTGTAGATATTACTGCGGTTTTTTCTGTAGGCCTTACTTCAAAGGCATTTTTATTAAATTTCTCAAAAATAACAATAGTTGTTTTTTTTTAAATTAAAGTTTGACTCATTATTGACTCAAAAAAAATCGAGAGTGCGATAAACTAATATTTTCTTTAAATAATAAGCATTAAAAAAAAAAGTTCATATGCATGTATTACTGCAGGTATAAAAGGAGCTTGTCTCTATTACTGCGTGCCAATTACTGCGGATGCCCCTATTATTGCGTGTCTATTACTGCGGATGAAATTCAATGATAAACAACTGCGGGATCATATAAGAAATTAATAAAATACGTTTGAAAGATAATTATTTGTTTAATAAAATGACTTGATTAGAAAAACGTATTTCTGAAATCATTGGAATTCATATCAATAAATATGATAATTTAACGCAGTGTGTCTAAATTAATAATAATGACCGGAATAGTGATGTATAACATAACAAGCAGGGTCTTTATAGTAATTAAAAAAATTAACTTGATCGAAGAAACACAAATCTTGATTGAAAAAAATCATTTTGAATTTTTTTATATCAATCAGAAAAATTTTTGAATAAAGTTACATTCACTTAATTTGATGGAAATTTCTTGATTTGAAAGTTTTTTTACTTAATTTAACACAACAAATTCTTTATTATAATTATCGCTTGTATTTTTCATCAACTTTGATTTATTGGTTTTATTTTTTATCAATTTTCTGTTTATAATTTATTTTAAAGATTATTTATTTTCAACTAAGAGCAATTTAAAGGCAACTTAAGCTGTCAATTGACAGGCAATATTTTCTTTTTAGGTTAAATATATGCATTTTACACCCGCAGTAATTGGTACAAATGCATGCAAATAGAGGTGCTTCTATTACTGCGGATTATTGAAAACATTCGCAGTAATACAAACATGTTTAGTTTATTGGTACCTATTACTGCGTCCTTAAATAAACAATATTAATTGATCAAAATTCAATTTTTATTACATGACTGATATTAAATAAGGGTTATCTTTCTTTTATATGTAAAAAATATTAAATTTGAACCAAAGCGGTGGTTTGAAAAAGAATTTTATTTTCAGCGTTTTCTTTATATATAGTTAAGTAATAATATTCTTATAAAAAAAACTTAATCACTAATATAATTTATTTTGATAGGTCATCAGATGATGCTCTGATCAAAAATCGGTTGTTGAAAAAATATAAATATTTTCTTAAATTATTAATTTTCTCTTATTATAAAAAGTAAATTTATTAGTACTGTAAGAATATATTTAATGCTATGGAAAAATTTAAAATTTTAAAATATAAAAAACCATTGCAACTTTAACTTGCCTTCTCAAGGCGGTATGCAGGGATGGGAGAAGGAGTCAGGAGGGGAGTATTAGGATGGGATAAGGGTTAAAAATTTACAATATATACAATATTTACAAAATTCTGCAGTAGCAGAAGAGTTTACTGCCTGTGACGTCTTCGGCTGTTTAAGAGTGGTCGTACTCTTTGCTGTTGTTGGAATTGCTGCTTCTTGATTCTGGCTCTCCGTCGTAATTCATCTAAATGCTTAGCTTCACCGTGAAGCCACCAGTATTTTTCATTCAACCGGTCTAGGCTATCATGGTCTCTGGCCGGGAGTGCCATTGAATAAACTATAGACTCTGATTGGAGATTGTCCATATCTGTGAAGATAGCTTTTCTTGCACAGTGTCTTCTAATGTGGTATATAATAGGCACATTGAATTCATTTTGAATGCAGCCCATGCGGTCAAGGTTGGTAAATATCTCTGGAGGACTGTAGTTGCTTCCAGCCATTTTATTCACTAGTTTGTTGTTATCGATCTTCAGATTCTTAATTGTGTCATTACCAATTTCGTACATGGTACTGAAGTAGTTCCTGGTGAGGGTAAGGCAGAAGTTATCAAACCTGGGAATATCTGCTAGGTCGTAGATCTCTTTATTGCTGAGTCGCTTGATGTAATTGGACTCAGCTGAACGGTATCTGCCTAAGCAGGTTTTTAGGCATGATCTTTCAAACTTGCGATATTTCTCCATGACCGATGGGCCTACATTCCACCAAATTGGAGCCGCATAACTGATGATAGGTCTCACTAGTAATTGATAGCAAATCAGCTTTGCTTTTGTTTGTATATTTCTGTCATAGAATATACGAGAATTTGCTCTGAACGCATTTTTACCTTTTTTGAGTTGAATAGCATGATGTTTGTTCATGCGAATCAGATAATCAAAATGAACTCCCAGATATTTGACCATGTCCTTATTCGGGATGTTAAATTTTTCACCTGTGTCGTTGTCTGTGATGGTGATTTGAAAGTTCTTGATCAGTAGGACTGTAGGAGGAGTGATTTCATTTACCGTCTTTCGAAATAATATTGTCTCACTCTTATCTGGGTTCATTTTAAGGTTCCATGATTTGTAGCAGTGGTATTTTTCATTAATTATTTTAGTTAGCTTATCTTGTATGACCGGAATTTTACTATCTGCAACGTATACTGTTTCATCATCAGCGTATGCTCCACTGTATGTGTTATTACCTGAATTGAGACCAAATTTGTTGAGGATTGTACTTGTGAATATGATGAACAGTATAGGCGAAGTGACGGTCCCTTGCTGTAATCCTTCTAGTATATTGAATATTGAAGTTGATATGTTGATACCATCCCAAACGATGAAAGATTTGCCATGGATCATATCGTAGATTAGTAGAATCAGGCTCACTGGGAAATTTAATTGTATTAAAATATAAATGAGGCCATTCAGCCACACCGAATCAAAAGCCTTTTTGAGATCTATGAGAGCTGTGCCAACCAGTTTACCATTTAAAAGATGTTTGTTTATGTCTGATGCAAATTTATTTATTGCATGGACAGTCGAGTGTCTGGCTCTGAAACCGTATTGGTTATCCGGTAGGATATTATTTTCATTGACGTGAACCAAAGCGGCATGATGGCCGAGCGGACTAAGTCATTATCCCCGTTAGTTCGTTCGTGCATCTTGTCGTGAGGCGAGGGTTCGATCCCCGACGGTTATTCGAATAGTTCCAACACCAACCGTCAGAGATCGCTCCGGTAGCCGACTGTACTGGCATGGGTTTTCTCTGTAGTTTCCCCATCGTCACTATTCCAACAACCGATAGAAAGGGGTGAGGAATAGTGTGAATACAGTACAGAAAGCACAAGTCGGTCCACAGCCGCATTGAGAATAGAGTTATGTGCAAAAAGGAGATGACGATTATTAAAAAAGCGGAGAACATGTTGATAATAAAAAGTGGAGAACATGTTGATTATGAAAAGAATTGAACGCAAAAAGAAACAAGTGTTAGTTAAAGGGGCGAAAGCCAGATATAATATTATGAATGTTATATGATAACAATAAGAGGCACTTGAGTGGTATTACTGTGGTAATATCAAAAATGTGGAGAATATGGGTTACAGTCTTGTAAAAACCAAAAATAGGTATACAAGTAAAAACGATATAATAATAATATTAAATTTGAACCATTTTATGTAAACAAAAAGATCTTTTAGTATCACCTCTTTTCATATAGAAACTCACAAAAAAGCTATAGTTTACTACCTGCATAGCCAGTTAATTTTAATTTGTTAATAACAAATTGAATAATTGTTATACGTGTCAAACTACTGTACAAATATTTTCTTGAAGATTTCAATTATTAGGAACAATTTTTTTTAATTTAAAAAGCTCAAGTACCATTTACTTATAATTGAAATAAAAAAATCCGCAGTAATACCCACACTTACCCTATGCGATCAAATGGAATTTTCCCATAGATAATTTAAAATTTAAAATTTCAACCTCAAGAAGTCATGGAGATTTAAATTTAAAAATAATTGTATAATTGATGGACAACTTAAAGTGAGTTATAATGAATTACTTGCAACCTTACTCCCCATATGTTCCAAGCCGAAGCATTTAACAGTTTTCTTCAGGCTGCCTAAAAAATTCTAGGCATCTTAAATTTAAAACTAGTTGTAGTTGGGCCAGTGGGTGTGGACTGATGTTCTTTTTTGTCCATCTTTCAGTAGCCCGGATAGGAGAAAAACTTAAAAAAACTCCGGTCCACATCTTAAAAACATCCCGTGAAGTAAAATGACACATCTCTCATGAATTAGTATGACCGTTGGGGTATATAACAGAAGAATCTAAATGGTAGTAGGCTAAATATTGAATGATTTAATAGAATAAAATTCAAAGCAGGAAGAAAAGCCTCCAGATCCAGGTCCACCTCTTGGTTTGAATTTAGATTTGGGTCTGATGGATGTACTTGCACATTTGTAAGTAAAGAAAGAAAAAGAAAAGTTTGATCTCAGGGAGAATATTTGTATAGTGGACTACACGCATTACCGACTATGTGAAGTAAAAAAAAAATGTGAAAAGGACGAGGGGCTGGACTCCCGGAGCGAAAACGCATGTGTTTCACACGTGTCTTTACCACTTGGCCTGGTGAACCAAACCCATTTACCAGAGCATTGCATTCACAAAAACGATCAAGTATGTCTTTTTTTAAATTTTATTTTCATAGTGCAGGAGCTGAGGGTTCTTTACCATATGGATCTCAACCAGAACCAGACAATATTCACTAATTGTATCTTCTAACCAAGAATTTCTTGATGCAACTCGTCTTCTTGATGTTATTATGTGTTATTATTTGCAATTTTATTTAATATTCATTCTCACGGATCCTCTTCATGCATAAATTAATTTTTATTTTAGTGATTGTTTATCTATATTTAGATCTTTGACATTAAGTTTTATGGTAATTGTAGGGAATTACAATTTTTAAGTGATCCTTTTACTGGAACCAATAAGAAAGAATACGCTTTTTTGAATACTGGCATGAAGACAAGAAAATTAGGTGTCAAAAGAGTGATGGATCAATTTTTTGAATCATTGTTGATGAAATTTCATAATAGAAGAGGGAACAAGAGAGATGATTAGAGGAGACTAAATTTTTAAAAATTGATGATAAAAGAAATTTTTGGCTTTAAAGTCTTTTTTAAAACATTTTGGAGAAAAATTAATATTTTCTCAATTTTCTTAACTTGATTTTTAGGTAGATTTCGTAGAAATCTATCTATTGCATTGGTCCTTGTGTCGGAATTCACACGGAATTTTGTCATTTTATCTCTTATGTAGTCGAGTAAAGCTCAAAATTAGCATTGGTTCAAAAGTTTATATATTTATGTATATAAATATACGACACGATAGCGTCTACAATTCTCAACGGATTTAAATGAAACTCGGTACACATATTATTTGGGTAATTACCTTGAATGAGTTTGAAGATGAGCAAAATCGATCAATTAGTTTAGAAATGGCGGCCATTTAAAGTTTTCAAAATAGTGAAAATCACGTTTTTGGTCACTTCATTGATGTATATAACTTTTGATTGAACAGAGATAGCTATTTTGGAAAAATTCATGTAATAGCTCATAAAATTACCTTTAATTTGACGTATATAACATTGACATTTTGACCATTTTTAGTTATTGTATCAAAGTTAAGAGTGCAACTGAACCATTTTCAGGCAATGTGTAGTACAACCGACTTATGAATGTTATTCTATCGAGAATTCTTAACAGATCCTAACGAAATTTAGTATATATATTTCTTGGACAATTAGCTTGCATGAGCCCTAAAATGAGCGAAATTCGTCAATAAGTTTAGAAATGGTAGCTCCTCAAAATTATCAAAATAGTGAAAATTACGTTTTCGGTGAGTTAATTGTTGTATAACTTTAGATTGAAAAGAGATTGCTAATTTTTGATAAATTCATGTGAAAGCTCATAAAATCGCCTTTAATTTGACGTTTATAATATTGACATTTTGACCATTTTTAGTTATTTTTTCAAATTTAAGAGTGCAATCAAACCATTTTTAGGCAATGTGTAGTACAACCGATTTACGTACGTCATTCGTGAAATATCAAGAATTTCATTCAGTGAAATCTACTTTCCATTTTGGGTGTGGCCGAATGGCGTTTTTTATATGGCAATATCATCAATTGAAGTAACTGCTTTGGGTAATAAACAAAAAAAATCATAACCGGTTTTTAATCAATAAGTAATTGATGAATTAAAACCATTTTTACAGTCAATTTAGACTTTTGAGAAATTTTTTTTAGTAAATTTGGTCAATTTTTCAAAAAGACTGAAAATTATCTAATATTTGATTTCTACAAAATAAAGTTAAGTAAAAAATTTCATTAATTTATAAAAGTTCTATTAATGGGACTTTTTGTTCCGTTGTCGAGATTTTTATCAAAAAAAAATGTATTATTTTTTGGTTTACCCTTGAATTACTCACATGTACGTCTAATTAATTAATCGATTTTTTAGTATCGTGATGTTTGTTCACGTTAGGCGTGATGAAATAAAAAAAAAAGCGTTACTTTTCAGTGAAATTCAAAAATAAAAATTTTTAGATCTGTTTTTGACCGAATACTTTTAACAGAAAGTTTTATTTTTGATATAGACAGCAATCCATCCAGAAATTTTCTTTTTTAAGATATTTTTATTTCTTTATCTGTACCGAAACTATTGTTGACTGAAATTGTGATCAATGCTAGAACAGTAATGTGAGCAATAAAAGTGGTATTTTTTTTAATTTCATTTTTTCGTTTCATCAGATTTATTTTTAATCGTATTAATGAGACTGAACTTCATTCCCTGAAAGGAATAAGTCACATTTTCAAAGATGACCTTTGAATAATTCTTTTTATGTGGTTGTTTATCTTTCCAGCTATTTAAACATAAAATATATTCATCATGAAAATATTAATTTTTCTGAATATTTTCATTTTACTTACAAGTACATTGCTTACATTTTTTTTTTTAATTAAAAACTTACTTTTTTCAATACCTGCATTTTTTAATTTTTATAGCTGAGAATCGTTTGAACCTCATTTCTTCATTTTAATATCAAAATTTGACGTTGTTTTTTTAATTTTTCAATATCTACGCAATAATTTTGTTTTAAACTTATAATAATTTGTTTTCGTTCAAAATATTTTTTAGACTTATACTTTTATTTAGTTGATTCAAATTCCATAAATTTTTTTCATCACTATTAAAAAAAAATCCACTTTTATAATTTAGATGAAAAATATGAAAATATATCATGTAAGAGCAAACTATTCGTAACGTGATTGGTCAAATATATCATAAGCATGAAAATATAGATAATTCCATACTAACATTCACACGCGCGCTTGCGCGCGCAACGTATACTAGTTTAATATAAAAATCGTATAGGAATGTGGGTAAAAAATGTTTCAGAAAAAACATTTGTGATAAAATTAGTTACTTTTAACTAGTAGGGATATTTTAAAAATCTCAATAATGAGATTTATTAATTAATTCTAAAAATGAAAAATTTTGCTTTATGATATGAAAAACTGAATTTCTGTACACAATAATTCGTTAAGCTATATGCACTAAATATTAAGTTTTATTGTACATACATTTTATAATTTTAGTTTCATGTGTATTGTAGATTCAATAAAAAAGTCGAAAGGTCACTGATTTAATCACAAGTATTTGTTTTGCAACAGAATAAAAAAATCGAAACAGAATCGATTTTTCATTTCAATAAATCCATTTTTTCATAAAACATTTTGGGACAAATAAATCTTTAATTTTATAAATTATCTGATTTTTTAATATAATTAT